TGAAAATCCCCAACTTCTTCACACCAGCACACGGGGCCCCAATCTCATCTGGCGCAGGGCCTGTCTCTGTTTGAATCCATGCAGTGCCCGGCACGACGGGGCCCTGAGCTCAGCCAGGGTTTCAAAGGCACTATTGCAGTACAAATAACACATACACACACAGGGCCTTTGATTTTCACACTGTTGCTAAAGACAACATGGTGATGTAATATCCATCACCATCCATAAGGAGTTTCACTTGGCTCCGCACAACATTTTAATTCAAAAACTAGAAAGATACGAAATTACCATGACCCAGATTCAAAACTGGCTAATTGCTAGATCTCCAGAGGTAACTGTCACCAGGGAACGAGCAGCGAGCACGTGTTTCCAGAGGGATCCCACAGGGAACTGTCCTTGGCCCAATGCTCATTAACACCTTTTTTAACGACCTGGAAGACAACATAAAATCAGCCCTGATCAAGTTTGCAGATAACACATAGATGCGGGGAGTGGCAAATAGTGACGAGGCCAGGTTACTGCTACAGAGCGCTCCGGGTCCTTGGTAAACTGGGCACAAGCAAACAGTGTGTGTTTTAATAGGGCTAAATGTCAACATGTACATCTAGGAACACAAGGTGTCAGCCGGACTTACAGGACGGGGGATGCTCTCCTGGGCAGCAGGGACTCTGACAACAATTCGGGGGTGATGCAGGATAAGTAGCTGAACATGAGCTCCCGGTGCGATGCTGCGGCCGTCCTGGGTGCATCAACAGTGGGCTCTGGAGTCAGAGCGGGGAGGTGATTTTCACTCTGGATCTGGCCCTGGTGCGACCACTGCTGGGGTCCTGTGTCCAGTTCTGGTGCCTGCAGTTCCAGAAGGACATTGACCCATCAGGGAGGGCTCAGAGGGGAGGCAGGAGAATGATGAAACAGTTAGAAAACCTGCCTCAGAGTGAGAGACTCCAGGAGCTCCATCTGTTTAGCTTAACAAAGAGCAGGTTCAGGGGTGACTTGATCCCGGTCTATAAAACCCACGTAGGGAACAAATATATAATAACGGGCTCTTCAGTCGAGCAGAGGAAGGTCTAACACCATCCAGTGGTTGGAAGTTGAAGCTGGACAGATTCCGACTGGAAAGAAGGTAGAAATATTTAACCATTGGGAAAACTTACAAAGGGCCATGGTGGATTCTCCATGGCTAGCAATTGCTAAACCAAGATGAGCTGGTTTTCTAAGGGCACATCTACATTGGCAAAGTGCCAGCAGTTACAGCGCCGCTCAGAGACGGCTGAAGGGAAACCGCTGTTGTGTGTTCACACTTGCGACACTTGCAGCGGTATTCAGAGCGGTGCACTCTGGGCAGTTATCCCACAGAACACCTCTTTCTCTTCTGCCACTAAGACTTGTGGGAAGGCGGATGGGGTCACGTGGCATCCTGGGTCTTGTCCCCATGCCCCATGATGCATTGCTTCACATCCCAGAAATCCCTGTGCATCCATCCACACTTAGCGCCCTTTATCAATGGTTTGTGTACTGCGTGCCCTGCCTCTTTGGGCTGCAGGAATGGATCCCGAACTGTTGATCAGTATGTTGCTCGCTCTGACCAACACGTCACAAGTGGCAGTGGAGTTATTCCTTAAACTACAAAGGCAAGAGGAGTGCGACGTTGATCTTGCCACATGTACTAGCTACGACATGAGATTCCTTGTGGCATTCATGGAGTTGCTGACCACAGTGGAACGCCGCTTTAGGGCTCGGGGAAACAAGCACTGAGTGGTGGGATCACATCGTCGTGCACATCTGGGATGACGAGCAGTGGCTGCAGAACTTTCGCATGAGGAAAGCCACATTCATGGGACTGTGTGATGAGCTCACCCCAGCCCTGCAGCACAAGTACACAAGAATGAGAGCTGCCCTGCCATTGGAGAAGTACGTGACGATGGCACTGTGGAAGGTGGCTATTCCACACTGCTACTGATCTGTCGCAATCCAGTTCGGAGTGGGAAAGTCGACTGTTGGACTCGTGTTGAGGGAAGTGTGCAGGGCCATTAATCGCATCCTCCTCCG